TTCTTCGTCAGGTCTGAGATAAGACCGCATCTCCGTCGGGGGAATCGGCTGTAGGAGCCGACGGGAGTGCCGAACATCGCCATGGAAAGGCATTGACGACATCAGTAGAATTTGCTGCTGATTCTTCTTTTGGTAAAGAAAACATAACCGCAAAGCAGACGACCGCGTCGCGTACGTACATACTTCATTTTTTCTCAACATTTTGACAAGTCTATTTCCTTTTCTACTTATATTGTTATATATAATCGGCTGGCAAAGCAAAGGTGACTCCATGCAACTTCCAAACGGAGCACTATATTGTAGTATTCGTATAAGCAGGCACATACCTGAAATGCATAAATAAAACATTGTGAAAACACTCATATTAACTTCCGGAATATATTTTTTTCTTGGAATAAATAGTAAGGTGCAGGCAGCATACTAATGGCAAAGCTAAAGCGAACTTTGGCAAGGTGAGAGAAAAGTATTGGGTTCTTCTTTTCCACGTCGTGATGCACCACGATTATTGCGTTAATTTTTCCGTGTAAACAATCTCGAGCTCTTGTCGCTGCTAGGCTACATAGTGCCCTTGCCTTTCCCCTCGCTGCATTATTTCATATCATATGTTGCCGCATAACCAATGGGAGTGAGGCCTTTGAAATTCTCTACGACGTCATTAGCTAGTCTAACACTACTTTACAATCACGAGTAGGTCAACATCATCACTCTAATCAAGCCGGGCAAGTTCGTTGCTTGTTTTCTTTCCATTAGGATAATCGTCTCCCTAAGCGAGCAGATAAGAGCAAGCTAGGGAGCACGTACCTTAATTCTTACGCAATTGCGTCCATTAGCCACGCGTCTCTTCCGCACTCACTTTGTTTATGCAGTTGACTTCCACAAGAGCTTTTTGAATGCATGGCATAGATATCTGTCTCATTGTCTCATAGAGCCATAGTGTACACTTTTTTATCACACATTGTAGTAGAGTAGTGTATATATGATGTAGGCCGTCCATAGAGGCATAGAGTATTAGTAGTAGTAGACAAACTAATATGCAATGCATCTGCCTATCTGAGACCACAGGTGAAGAACACTCTCCACTCAACTCCTCATACTGCTATACAGTACGTGTGGAGAATAAACTTTGACCTCGTGATCATGAGTGGCGTGCACTTTCGTGCAAAAACATATTTAAGCACTAATTTAAGCTGACGAATATGGTCAGCCATGCATGCCTATGGACCATCGGCTAGCTTAGCTTAGGTTGGTGTGGGTCTGAGTGTGAGTAATCATACTGGGCGGCAATTAACTAGTCCCTAACGTACCTATGACATCAGATAACTTGATTCGATCGTCCGCAATGGATTCTGTCTCTGTGCATGCGTCGATCGATAACGTCCATACATTCATGGACTTCATTTCAGTTCCAACTCAACCGTCTTATATGGATAATATATTCGCCATGCAGTAGAACAGCACCCTATTCTGTAGCCTCGCGAGAAATTTCTTAATTATACTCCTATAATAAATTAGAAAAAGGAACACCCTAGCTGCATGTCTTCATAGACCATCAGCCTATGCACATACAAATTCGTAGGGAACGCCGGCCATGTCGAACCTAACTTAAGATGCCATGTAGAAGAGTCAGAGGAGCCGTTTCAGTTCGGCTCGTTTCACAGAAATGGAAAAGATATGTGGAGTGGGCGAAGGAGGACATAGAAAAGAAGACACCGTCCGTCCGTGCGTTCTTTTTAATCACCTGGAACACCAAAAGGCCCGCACCGCCCAATAGGAACTGCACACGTTGACATTGCCATGTTATTTTTTTCCGGAGCGAAAGAGGGGCCACCATTGACATTGGCACATGCATAACCAGCCCACCACTTCCATTCCATGTGCTCCAGCAAAAGCTACTCCATTCACACATGCATTATTAACCGCTGCATGCATGCGGCACGAACCGGCCGGGCGGGCAAAGCTAGAAAAGCGCAGCCGAACATTGCAGCAACGGGAAAGTGGCAAGGCATCGCCGCCGGCGTGGAGCAGCGGCATTGCGACAACTCACGCCCGTGGTGGTACAAGGCGGCGCCACCACTAGCTGTATTCGCATCGGTCGACGTCGTTTCGGCCGGATGCGCATCGGTTCTCGCTACACCCCATGCAGATCTCCCGCGTACGACCTATGATCTGCCATGTACGACTGTACCGCTGTACGCGCTCCTCCGTCGATCTTTTCCGCCCATCTTTCCCTTTACATCTTTTGTTGGTGATCGCTCGGAATGATTTGGTTCGTGGGCGGTGCGCTGCGTTTTTCGCCTTTTGTCAGATCGAAAGCTTCTTGTAATCTTGTCCATGAGACAGAGATGTGATGTGAAGGCAGAGGAGCATAGCCGTATACGTGCGTCCAGTACGGGCCGTCCGCTGGGTGTCGAAGGAACAACATTCCTAGACCGGTGAAGCGCACAGGTAGGTATCACGTCAAAAATGAAAGAAAGGTAAAGTTCACAGGTGGTGCACGGACCGATGACATCAGGTGGAACAACATTGGTACAATGAATATCTCTCAGAGGTCATTTCAAAATAATAAAAAACTCTCAGAGGAAAAAAGAAAGACATTACAGCGAATAAGGTGCGGGCATATTTTAGAATTTAACTTTGATCATCAATTTTAACCAACCAAATGTGAGTTATGCACATGCGACCAAAGTTATTACCACTGAATTCATATTCGGAAAAAGTTTCCGGTGATATAATTTTGAAGCCACATAACTTGTGGTCTGTTGGTTAATAAAGTGATTGTCAAAGTTATACCTCCAAATGCGTTCATGTCTTGTTCACTGGAATGATGAGAGTAGTAAGCAAAATCCATTGGGGCGTTCATACTTTATTAACTGTCGTTTTTATAGTTCATTTCTGTTTGGGATCTTGTCTCATTAGTAGACACGGATCAGCATATTTAAGAGTTTTGACCATTTGCACCACTTTTTTACATCCAAATTCTGATACGTTCCATATTTAACCTTTTTAGTGGATCTTAGGCATACTTGGTCAAACGTGTAAGGTACATGCATGATTCAGTCGGTCGAGGGCGCTGACCAAATGGTTGTATCTCTGTATGTTCAATGAACATACACTACTAGTACAGTACCTCCTTAAAGACAAGCGTGTATGTTCCCTGCAATTTGTTCAACGGATATGGTGCTTCGGTGCAGGGCTACCGGCCTCCATGCTCCGCCTGGTTGGCCCTTTGATTGGTTCAGCCTCATATCCTCTAAAACGGCCGGCGGCCGTCACGGCCTGAGCCTGGTTGCAGTTTGCAGAGCTGGCGCCGCAAGTTGCCAATGAAACAGCTGACGGAAATTCACTAACATATCACGTGAAGACGACGTCTTCAGTCATCTAATTTGTACAAGTTGGACATTGGGTAATTGGCACCTTGTCCACTCGAATAATTCAGTACGTATATGAGGTCCATTCCATGTCTTTTCGTTGAGCAAGATGCGTATTTCTCCATCATTGCATTCTCTCGTCTGTGGCGGCCAAATTAGTGTTTTGACCTTTTTGTGAAAGTTGGGCTAGATCTGACCCTTTTTCTATCGCCGGGTCGATGGCGGTAGGATATAACTGCCTACCGCCGAGGCCCATGACGCTAGGGGTGACGACGGAGATAGACGGTTGTAGGTCGTTGCTAACGTGGATGAAGAGCCTACCGCCAGACACGATGGCGGAAGGTTGTTATACCCTACCGCCCCACGTGGCTTATAACTGTTTGAACCCTACCGCCGAGGTCGATGGCGGTAGGGTATAACAACCTACCGTCGGGAGCCTCGGTGGTAGGGTTGACGGCAGAGGCGACAAGCGTTTAGCTGCGCTGACGTGGATAAGTTTCCTACCGCCATCAACCTCGGCGGTAGGAAAAAGGGCCAGATCCTAAAATTAATCAAACTAGGGCGCAGAAGGGTCAAACAAATATATCTGCTATGTGCTCTCGTCATGAAAATTCATCATCGAACAAACAAATATATAATGAATTTTCACTACTTTTGTTATTTAGTACTATATAGTGATTTAAACGCTTTTATATTTTTTACGGTGGGAATAATAGATTTATTTTCCAAGGGTAAATTAGACTTGCATTCTTGTTGGCATGAACGTCGGCAGTCGGCAGCAACTAGACACTCGATTGGTGTAGCGACTTGCCGACCTGTGCGCAAGCTCGTTCTGACGGCGGTACTAGTCGATCGGCGGTCTAGAGACGAGACATCGATGTAATTTTTATTATTCCAGCTTACGATGTTTCGTATTATTGGTGAACTTTTACAATAATAGGTCTGCATTTTGGGGGGAAATGTGCACGCATCGAGTAATGCATGAGGTAGGCGGCAAAATCAACGTCATGTGCATCTATCCGTGCCGCACGATCGATCGCTGTAGGGCTGCCCGAAGTGGCAGGCCGAACTATACTAGTTCGCGCATCCCCTATGTCTCGCTCTGCCTGAAAGCGTCGATTATTCGGCACGCACGCACGCCGTCACGATCTTCTCACGGATAAAACGGAAACGGAAGCCGGCGGCACGACCCCATCATTGCACATGATGCGCAGCGTATGTATGAAAATGGCAAGCCGATGGTAGAATCCGTTATACAGCCAACAATCTGTTAATTCATTGAATAATTACTCAAATCACACTGGAAATACATCACGAGTGCAGTGAAGTAGTACGGTCACGCCGGCCGGAGGCACTGCATGCACCGGGACCAAACGGCGACCCGACCGATCGATCGATCGATCGGGGGAAAATGAGCGACACATGGGCGGCATGTGTCACAAAAAAGCCCGGCATGCATGCAGCCAGCAGCCACTGTGGCCACGGATTAAGGTTGTTATTATCCATCCCATTGGCTAGGCTAACTATCTGGGATTAGTTTAAGCCCAGCAACCCAACTATCGCATTAGCAGCAGTGCAAGTGCAAATGCAAATGCTGGACATGTTTCGTCGGGCGAGCGCACGTGCGATTGATTAGGAGGTGGCAATGCAGTACTGCTCCAGGATGAAGAGCGGCTTCTGCCGCAGCTGCCGGCACCGGCGCACGCTCTGCAGCAGGTCGTGCTTGTCGCCCCTCCGCGACGTGAACAGGAGGAGCTGCTGCGGCTTCCTGTCGGCGGCGGCCAGGGCCGAGGCCGACGACGGGTGGTGCTGTCCGCCGCACTCGTCGTCCTCCTCCTCGTCGTCGCTGTCGTCGCCGTCGACGGGGGTGCGCGGCGCGCCGGTCTCGGTCGACGCCACCGCGACCGCGGCCGCGAGCGTCGTCGTGGAGGAGGGCACCCGGCGCAGCGCTGGGGTTTCGTCGCGCGCGGACGGCTCGGGGTGCGGCGCGTCGGCGTGGCACCGCGCTTCCTCGGAGGTGAAGGTGAAGGGCGTGCTGCCGACGAACTTGTTGATCACGAGCGTCGACCGGTGCACCTTGGCGGCGGCGGGCGCCTGCGGCTGCGAGCTGACCTTCACCTCCACCATGGTTCCTCTGTCCACCACCTCCACCTCCTCCTCGTCTTCCTCGGCCTCCTCCTCCACCTGCATGGCCACCTCTTGCTCTGGCTCGCACTTGTCCTCCACCACCGGGAAGAAGGACGCCTCGGCCGGCGCGGCGCTCTTGCCCGCCGCGCTCTGGCCACGAGCAGAGCACTCGATGAAGGAGAGGCGGAGGCGGCCGCCCTGGCGGTTCGCCTGGAGGTACCCGCGCGGCCTCACCACCACCGCCTCGACGACGAGGCGGCCGTCCTGGCGGCGCGAGCACATCTTCAAACACGGCCCGTCGCGGCTCGACATGGACGGCAGCGGCGGCGGGAACGAGCGGCGCGGCGACCGTCTCCCGCCCGAGGAGTGGTAGTTCACCGCCACGAGCCCGTCTCCCGGGTAGCAGCTTTCTCGCGCGGCACTGCTCTCCCAGAAGGACTCCTCTGCCTCGACGGGCGCCGTCGGCATCGGCGAGCCACCAAAGAAGCAGTCCATGTCGACGGCGTCGAGAGACGCGGTGAAGTCGCCGGAGCCGGTCTCGCAGCCGAGGCTCTCGGTGCAGATCTCGAGGCTCTTCTGGCTCATCGAGCGGCGCACGCGCGGGCTGACGTACGGCTTCTTGGCGGCGGCGGCCACCTTGCTCTCGACCACGTCGGCCTGGATGGCATTCCATATGTCGACCTGCGCAGGCCGGTCGTCGGCCACCGCCGCGGCCGGCTTGTACGGCTCAGCCGGGCGCAGCCAGGCGGGGGTCTCGAACGCCGGCACGGCCGGGCCACGGCACACGGCCACCGACATCTTGGCCTTGCGTGGGAAGACGTGAAGTGGCGGCGGTAGCGAAAGGCTGCTCCCTGTGGAGAAGCAAGATCAGAAAAGAGGTGAGCAAGAGATGAACGGCTTGCGGTGCATGCATTTCTCGACTTAAAAAAAACATGCAAGGGCCAGAAGAGCAGGCGCTGTGGCAGCTTTCTTACCTCAAGGAACGTCAATAGAGAAGGCGTAGAAAAAACTTGTTTTCTGAGAGTTGGGAGGTGTTGTTTCGGGAGGCGATCACTGGCTGGTCTTCTTGTTTTTGACACAAGACAGAAGCTGCTCTGTTGCTGGCATGTATGATTTGGTTTGCTGAGCTCCGAGGGCTATTTGTAGGCGGGGGAAAGGGGAGGAGAATGGGTGGCATTGGCCGTCCAAGGCCAAAGGAGAGGGGGCCCATGCTCCCGCACTACTTGCCTCCGCCACCATGCTTTGTTTTCCTTCACCTTTTTCGCAAGTTACACTTTGGCATTCTCTTTTGCTAAAATTCATTTTGTTATTTCTTATTGCAGTTTAGGTGCACGTCAGTCGCCTGAATTTGAAAGAGGATCCGTCGATTCTATGGGAAGGAAGCAACAGCCAAAATAAAAAGCACCACCACACCATGTTTTGTTTCAGTGTGCTCTCAAAATACGACAGAGCAATAGATGTTAGCTACTACCACCACACACTTTTCTATTTCATATTCCCCTTTTTGAATACTGATGTACTAGTCATCTCAAAGTAAAAATTACCAAGGTCTAGAAAAAAGACTACCTATCCATGATACACAAATTTTGGCTGTTGTTTTTCTACTGCATTTTAGTACAAGAATGATGCATTAATAATACAATGATTTTTATAATAAGAAGTCTAGGAATGATATTTTGAAAACGCCGCTAGAATTCTCTTGGTTTATAACATTTTTCTAAAAGAAGGATAAACCCCGGCATCTGCATCATTATGATGCACACAATGCATTTGCATACTAGAATTCCTTGTTGCTTTGCATGGTTTGAAACGGAAGATTTTTTTTCCATCAACTGCTTATTCGATCACCAGGCAGATGGTTAATTTGTTGGAAAGTAAAACATGTAGCCTATAGGGGTAGAATATAAACTTTTCCATGATGAGAAAATGAACTGTTTAATATGTGCTCCGTTGGAGTTGGAATATTCTCAATGCCCCAATTGTGTTTTCTTTATCATAAAACTTTCTCTTGTTCTTACATAGTGCTTTAGGTAAATATGACATGGCGAGATTCCAATTTGTTTGCATCTCCATACAAGAACAGAATTTTCTTTCGTCATTGTTGGGTTTGAAATGACAATCACCCACATTCACTACAAGTCCTTACTAGAGTGGAGAAAGAATGGATGAAATAAAATTATATCTCCTTTTGGTTCTTTTCATACGTGTCTTTCATCGGCATGAATGATATTTATATGTTTGTACACATCTTCTATTATGTCACCCTTCTTGCTCATTAAGTGGAATGGAGATGCCATTCCTAGGCTCACAGATTTGTCGGATGGTGCATGTGTCTTCTCAATGTTTTGTTACTCAATTTATTAATAATTCTTATTTGAAATGTACCAAAAACAAATTAGCGGAGAAACCCGTACAAAACTCAAAGTTGTGTGCATGTAATACTCTTGTTTTTTAGTACTCTCTGTACTACAAAGAAGTACAGGTCACCTTGAAACTTTATTGCTCACGTGCTAACTTTGAGGGTATATAACTTAAGACAAAAATTAGACTCCCTCCATTACTTTATATAAAGTTTTTTTATTAAAAATAACATTGACCTAATTTAAAGAAAAAAACTATCAAAAGCAACAATACTAATTAAAAATAAAAATAAATTTAATTATGGATCTAGTTATATTCAACTAGTATGATTTTTTTCCATAAACTTGGTCAAAGATAGAAAAAATGACTTATAAAATAATACACCTTAGAAAAAGAATAGAGGGGGGGTTAGAATTTTGCCCATATTACAAAAATTAGGCCATATTTACCTTGTAGCTATGAACTTGTGACATTTTTTTAAAAAAATTGATTTTTTTTCTTGAACCAAAAAATGAATCCCACATGTTAAGATGACATGACAATCGACTTGAGATAATATGAAATGTATTCACTAGAGGCATCGGGCAATATCCAACATGGCATGGGAGCACTGTGTCATGGCAAACTACACCTATTTGCCATATATTTTCACATAATTCGGTGCAATTTGATGAATTGGGAGAGACCCGTGACAATTTTGCCCCCCCCCCCCCAATGCACATACATGGTTGGGTTGCCCCGTTAGCTACCATGCAATCTTAACAAGCGTCGAGTTTGGTAGTAAATAATAAAATAGGGTAAAATATGTCATGTGGTCAGAACTAAGTGTGGAATTTAACAAGATAGATGAAATATAGTAAAATTTACCCCAAAGTCACAATCAAAAAGTAAATGGGTGAAAAATACTGGAAGCTAGAATAACAATTGGAATATGAAACCCTAAACGAAATTGCATGGTCTACATGCGTAGATGAATTTCAAAGCAAATTAAGTAGTTGGTCGTGTTCTTGGTTGTCTATGATTCATTCTTCCTCACTAAACTTCCACGTGTGCCCTTGATGGAAGAGTTTCTTTTTAGATATCCAAAATTTAGCCTCTATGGCTCATACCTTTACTCGTTTTGTTTCGCTAGAAAATGGACGGATTGAAGACAATTGATGTCAAACTAAACTTACCAGCCATACATCCAAGCTAACTACTTTGGCAACCATCCTTCTAACTAATAGCTCATATGGATAAGCTTCCACACCCTCTTTACCGGTCTTTGAGCCAAGATTATAGCCATCATCGATAACAGTTGGACACCCCCCTATCATCGTCCAGAACCCTCAGACATCTACTATGTATAGCTTGTGCTCATGCACCCTTGTATCTTTGGCATTTGCCACTCTTTATGTGCTCCTGCAAGGCTGAAACCACGCCTCTCCACTATCATTCATGTTGATATGACATTATGCAACACCACGTTAATGTCGCTCTTGTTGCTTTCTAAAAGGATCGAGAAGAGGTGTCTAGAGGGGGTGTGATTAGACCCTCAACAAGCAAAGATGGCAGTTTTTAAGTTTTTCAAGTTGAGGTTGGAAATTAGCACAATTTCAAACATTCACAATACAATTCAAGCAAGCATGCAAAGAACATATGAGCAGCGGAAAGTAAAGCATGCAACTTGCAAGAAAGTAAGGGATGGGATTGGAGTGTGCAAACGCAATTGGAGACACGAAGATTTTTGGCGTGGTTCCGATAGGTGGAGGTACCGTCATCGAGTTGAACGTGTGTTGAACGCGGAGGTACCGTAGGTTCGGTGCTTGGATCGGTTGGATCGTGAAGTCGTTTGACTACATCAACTGCGTTAACTAAACGCTTCCGCTTTCGGTCTACGAGGGTACGTGGACACACTCTCCCCTCTCGTTGCTATGCATCTCCTAGATAGATCTTGCGTGATCGTAGATTTTTTTTTTAAATTACCACGTTCCCCAACATCCCCAACGGTCAACTCTCTCTCACAGATTTTGCTATGGTGGAAAGATGATTTGAGTGGAAAGCAACTTGGGAAGGCTAGAGATCAAGAATCTTGTGGTTGGAATGGAATATCTTGGTCTCAACACATGAGTAGGTGGTTCTCTCTCAGAAAATCAATGCTGGAAGTGTAGGCACGTTCTGATGGCTCTCCTCACAAATGAAGAATGGGTGGAGGGGTATATATATCCTCCACACAAAATCTAGCCGTTACACACAAATTCCCAAACTTGGTGGGATCGAATGGTAAAACTCGGTCAGACCGATTCAGGTCAAAATGTGAGTGTTAGAGTTTTCAGTGGGACCGACAAGGTCAACTCGGTGGGACCGATTGCAGGGGTTAGGGTAAAACCTCAACTCGGTTTGACCGATTACTCAGACTCGGTGAGACCAATTTTGGTATTAAGCAAACTAAGTATTGGTCAAGCAAACTCGGTGGGACCGATTGCACAATCTCAGTGAGACTGAAATTGTTGCAATTGGTAACAGGAAGTTTGCAAGCCCATCTCGGTGAGACCGAGATCCCATCGGTGAGACTGAACTAATTAGGGTTTGGTAGTGGCTATGTCAAATGAACTCGGTGGCGCCCGATAGATCAAATCGGTGGGGCCAAGTTTGACTTTTAGGATTAGGACATATTTGGATATGAGAAAGTGGTTGAGGGCTTTGGAGCATATCACTAAGCACTTTGAGCAAGCAAGCCATTAAGCAACACCTCATCTTCTTTTAATAGTATTGGCTTCCCTATGGACTCAATGTGATCTTGGATCACTGAAATGAAAATGTAGAGTCTTGAGCTTTTGCCAAAGTTTGTCCTTAGCATCTTGAAGGCGTTTCACATCCTCTTGTCCATGTCCAATCCATGTCCATGCCACTCCAATGTTGAACTTATCTGAAATATACTAGGTAGAAATATTAGTCCAACAAGAGATATGTTGACATTAATTGCCAAAATCACCCAGGGAGCACTTGTGCTTTCACGTTCCTAATGTCCCCAACTTGTGGCACATGCATTTCTTTTTGTCTCCTTTTCTTCTCATGGTATGTTCATTACTGTCTTGTGTGAGCTTCCAAACCACGATAATACTTTTGCCCCCATTGTTTGGGAGAACTTTGGCTAGTCCACTACAAGCAATTTCTCTCCCTTTACCATAGTTAGCTTGTCTTTGCAGCACACTTACTTCACCACCAACACATTCCTCTCTTCTGCATGCACCTGTTGTGGCATGATTTTGTGGTGCAACTCTTATTCGCCTCCCCACACACATTTGCTAATTGTGCTACCAGGAGGACCAGCCAACATCACCTTCGTTGAGGCTCTATAGGATGTCAACTCTATGGCCTCCCTCCAGGTACATCAACTACAACCACAACCATCCTTCTAAGTGTTCAGAAATCTGGAAGACCAAAGTTTTTAGGGA